AAAGCCCAGAAATTTGCAATCCCCCTTCCAAGCCAGACAATGGGCCTGTGGCCTCACCAACAATGTATGACTGCGGAAGCGTTGGCTAGAGCTCATCTCCAAATTGGACTGGGAAGAGTTGGATCCTGTCATTTTGGTTTTTATTCTAACGTTTGTATCCTTTTCACACAGCTTTCCTTATGACTAGCTTTTATTTAGCCCTCAAGCTTAACATTTGGAACTTCTATTTGTAGGGTTCTTTTCATCATCTTGGAAAATAATGTTGATTCTTCCAGTAAGCATCTTTCTTTTGTGTTTTGTTTCATTTTCAATTCTATATGAGTTCTTACCCAGTAGCTCATTGAAACAACTGAGCAATTAAAGCAACCAAGTAACTAACATCTGGTATGTGTTTGCTTACTCCCTTATACTCTCTCCGGGGCAAGAAGTATGTGCTTTGGAATGGTTAGCAGTTTATTATGTTATATATGAATACTTGTTGTTTACAGAAGATCAAAGAGGTTAATGTTGCACTCTGAGTTGAGAGTTGCAACGTTTGTGGTAGCTCTGTGTTCTTAGGATGTTCATGACACAGGCTTTGGCACTCCAGAAAAACATCATTTCCAGCTGAGCACAGTTTTACCCTTGAGTAAAAAAGTTGGTTGAGTGACTAAAGGGTTCCCTTGAGTAGAGAGCATGTTGTGCTGAGACAGAAGTTGTCATCTGTGGTCTTTGCCCTGTGGCTGCAGTCACTTGTTTATATGCCACAAATTGTTTTCATGGTGCCTGGCACAACAATGTCCTGGTCCATGGCTCAGGGATTAAGGTCCCTTGAAGTCAGACAAGACATTCTTCAGGTCATGAAGCTCCTCTTGACATAGTTATCATGAAGCTTTCCTGTGCATTCTTGCCTTAATCTAAAAATCTCTTAATAGTGGTATAATAGCAGGTTCCAGACCATGGCCTTCCTAAGAAAGATCCATTTTCTCTCTATATCTTCCACAAATTCTGACTATAGTGCCCTCAAAACAAAGCAGTAAATTGTTGCTCTCTGAATTTATTATACTGAGCAATTACATGGAGGCAGCATTATGAATATCATCTGCATAGTCGATATGGTTTTATATTGCTGTCTCAACAGTAAGTCAGAGTCTACTGTACTAAAGATTTGCTGAGCACTAAGGTCTTGCTTTAGTTATTTCTGAGTAAAACTTGTATTGTTTTTGTTATGGTCAGAAGCACCCCCAGATAATCTGAGATCTTGCTTGGTTTTAGTAGCACTAGTTTACATTTCTAGTGCCCTCATCTTAATGAACTGCTGAAAGTGAAGTAGAAATTTTACTCACAGAAATTAATCAAAGTAGTCTTTTTGGTTTTGAATATACTTTAACCTTTGGTCACTGTGGTCCATGATTTTTATTTTTTTTTTTTAATTTATGGCGTTTTAAAACACATCTTGGCTCTAGATCTTGACTGAAGTGTGGTACTGTTTATTAGCTGAGTCCTGCTGCCCTTCATTTTTGAGTAGAGATCAGTTGTTTTATTTTATGCCTTAATCATTCCTAAAAGCTGAGCCTTGGGAAATGCCTCAAGCAACTGTGTCTTACAATCATTCTGTTAGCTAGTATATACCTGTCTCCAAACTATGCCTTAAGATGTAAAAATCACTTTTGTGTACACAGTTTATCATGCCATAGAAACTGACTATTCTCTGTCTCGCTTGGTTAGAAAACAGTGTGTCTCATATAGTGCTTTCCTCACTCCCCTGTGTCTTAGCAGAACAAGAACTTTATCTTGATTGTATGGTAGGCTATACACACAGTAAAATTAATATTTCAAACTAATTTGGATTGACAATAAGTTGTTTAAAGGGAGTTGTAGTGTGGCCAGAAAAATAAATGCTTTTTCCCATTTTTCAAAATAACGTTTTTCTTTCACTGTATAACTAAAGCTCACTCTGGATAGAGATCTGTTTTTGCAGAATTAATTACCAGAGCAAACATGTAGTTTCAGCATCTTCAGGGCCTGGTTGTTCATGTGTTATATGTGTCAGTAGTTGTTATACACAGGGAGGTTACTATGAGATTTTTCAGTAGCTTTGGCTGGAATGAGTCCCATGAAGAAGAAGAAATATGAGGTTTATAGAATCAGACCCTGTGTTCCTACTTGTATGAAGGACTATCAAAAATTAATACAAGGAATATAGTAAGAGAGAACACTACCGAGTAGATCTCTAGTGATGTTTGTGACAAACCTAAAGGCACCATTGCATGTAGGGAAGTTAAATGTGAGGTGAGATCATGACTCGAAGTCCTTTGTAACATCACCCTAAACAGAAAAATGGATCTGTATTAAAACCTAATGTGTCTTAACCTATGCCCTGAAACCCTACCTCCATGAGTTCTGTAACCTGTTTCTCTGTTCTCACCCAACCTTGAAGGCACTGAAGTGGTAAAAAGGCAACAGAATTCCTTTCCTTCATGGAAGTTGCAGGGAGTTGCTGCTCCTCTAAACAGTAGGTGATCTCCATCACAGACAAAATAAATTATTACATTTTACAGATTGTATGAAACAGTCTCAGCTGGAGGGATTCAGCTCCTGGCTGATAAACTCTTCAGCTCTCTGGAGAGTTTGGCATTTTCCCTCTCAGCATGGATCTCCATTTCCTTTTCCTCTCCTTGGCATTTAATCAGAAGTTTGAACTCAGTTTTTAAGGCTTTTCCTATTTCCTTCTTTTGCTATAATCAACAAGTGACAAGGAGAACATTGCTCATGAGAGATGACACCACTGCGAATCAGGGTGGAATTGTCTCCATTTAGGTCTTGCTGCAGTAAAAGGAGGTTGGGAGCTCTGCAGCAGAATGGGTCCCTCCGAGGCAAGTAGCCTTGCTGGATTCTCCCTTTTAGGATGATAGACTTGGGATCAGTAGCTGGAAAGTTGCTTCACCTCATGATGCAGCCAGTTCAGTCAGTTTGTTTTAAAAATGATGCAGAAGTCAGTTCTGGATTAGGTAAAGGTGTCTAGGAAGTTGCATAGTGAGTTATTTTGGGATGGAGCTGTAGCAGTGATGGAGACGCAGACATCTTCTTTCAGGGTATTCACAGTTGATTTATATCAAGAAGTCAGTTCAGCTCAGTTGAGTCTTCCCTTCTCTACAAGACTCCATGGCTATAATCTTCTATTTGAAGCTGTTGAAAGAAAACACTTGCTGTCTTTACAAATTCAGGTTTCTGTGAATTTCTGCTATGTGGCTCAAAAGAACTAGTCCATTGATAGAAGTCCCTGAGGCTGAATGAAAGCTGAATTATTGTAGTTGACAGTGAATAAAGTCTGTGAGGTGGGTCTAATTTTTTTTCTTTTGCCTCCTACTTGTTGTTTATACCTACTTGGTATAAAATGGGGCTCACCCTTGAGGCCCAGTATCCCAGCCATCCACAATGGCACTTACTACAGTCTACAGTGATTCCTGTTTGAGTCAACTGCCAAGGTTCTTTTATGTAAAGCAGTGCTGGTGCTCCTCTCTCATGCCAATATACAGCAGGGATGCAGTCATGGGGCACACATTATGAACAGGAAAATAGATATAACCTTACTGACCTTCATTAATTGACTCAGGAGACCTTGAGGAGCAGCAAAAAATATTCAAACACTAACATGTCCCAGCTTTGAATCATAATTGGTGCTATTGCAGTTGTCATTGAAAGACAGACAGGTATAGAAATTTCTTTTCCTTGAGTAGCTTCCCTAAGCCATTAAAGTGCACCAAAGCAATTTCTTTGTATGATATGAGTCCATCTGTTAGGACTTGACAATTATGATACTCTTTTGTCACATTTAGAATTAATTGACTTTCGTATTAAATTGAAATAAATTAGCTTAGTATACATCAATTATTGTTTAAGTGTCAGAGATAAAAAAAATTTGCTCTCCTCATGATCAGAAGTTATACATAATCTCATGACAAGTGTAAAAAGTGCCAATTTTGGCTTGAAAACAACTGTTCCTTAGAAGGAAAACAGGAATTAAGTTCTGAAAAAATTATTTGCTGGTAACTACATCTGCCTTTTGAATTCAGTTTCAGCTGAATGATTTAATTTACAGTAAAATATGGAAACATTGAAATGTCCTTCTGTCTATCTGCAGGTATCCACAGTTACTTGCTGAGGCAAAATTTTTATGGAAGTTCCATCTCTGGAAGCTCCTGTTTCCAGAAATGACATTTCAACACCAACTTCTCATAATTACCATAGCGGTTGTGGCTATGCGGTGGCAGAATAGGAGTTGCTTCTGGAACTGACCAAGGTCATAAGAGGGTTGTGACACTCCAGGTGAGTAGGAAGGCAGGTAGAAAAATACCTTGAGGGAGTGCAGATACCCAAATATGTACCAGATGAAACTCTGAAGTCAGGTATCTAAAGCTTTAAATGCATATTTGATATGTTTTCAAGAACACAGAATGCTCTTCTGTGTATGACTGAAAATAAATTAATTGATATGACAACAGAAGTAATTGCAGTCCACATTAAGCAGATAACATCAAAAGTAGTGGATTATAAATTGCAACATCATATAAATCAATACAACTCTACTGAAACCATAATTGAGAGACACGTGCTCTTAAGCTTTGTGCTAAATGTTTTGATGGATTGACAAGCTTTCTGTCTTTAAACTAAAGATTTTTTTCTGTCACTGAAGTAAACTTATTTTGTGACTATTAATTTCAACATGATAGTAGAAGAGAGACTGATCTGCTGACAAATTAGGTATTCTTCCTCCACACTAGAAAAAATTAAGGAGGGCTAAACTGGAGCCTATTGCTTTCTAATTTGCTAACGCTGTATTAAAGCATCAAAGTGATTTAAACCTACTTCTGTCAAATGCTGAATAATGGTATTCATAAAGTTTTTGCTTGTTTGATTGTTATAGCATTTCACAGTATCCAGAGGTGGAAAAAAGAATGTGTCACAAGACCAAAACTGAATTAAATGCTCTAACAATATCTTATGTTCTTTTTAGGTTCAATGTAAATCCTGTTGGGCACCAGCAGTGGAATTCATCTGTTCAAAATGGTTTATGGTGAATTTTTCCGCAGACCTGGGAAAGATGCAGAACTTATCAATTTAAATGTAGGTGGCTTTAAGCAATCGGTGGATCAAAGCACCTTGCTTCGATTTCCCCATACCAGACTTGGGAAACTTCTTAAATGCCACTCAGAAGAGGCTATTCTGGAACTCTGTGATGATTACAGTGTTGCAGACAAGGAATATTACTTTGACAGGAATCCCTCCTTGTTCCGTTATGTTCTGAATTTTTACTATACAGGCAAACTTCATGTCATGGAAGAACTTTGTGTCTTTTCCTTCTGCCAGGAAATAGAGTACTGGGGAATAAATGAGCTGTTTATTGATTCCTGCTGCAGCAATCGGTACCAAGAAAGGAAGGAAGAAGGTCCTGAGAAAGACTGGGATCAGAAGAGCAATGACAGAAGTATAGACTCCTCTAACGAAGAGTCATCCATATTTGATAAAGAGCTTGAAAAGTTTGACAATCTATGTTTTGGTGAAGTAAGAAAGAAGATCTGGATCAGAATGGAAAATCCTGCATACTGCTTGTCTGCCAAGTTAATTGCTGTGTCATCCTTGAGTGTTGTCCTTGCGTCAATTGTGGCCATGTGCATTCACAGCATGCCAGAGTTTCAAAGGCTGGATGCCAATGACAGGGAGATTGAAGACCCTGTGTTGGAAGCTGTGGAGATCACGTGCATCATCTGGTTCACTGCTGAGCTAGTGATCAGGCTCATCACTGCTCCAAGTCAAAAGAAGTTCTGGAAGAAACCACTGAACATCATAGATTTTGTCTCTATTATCCCATTTTATGCCACACTGGCTGTGGACACAAAAGAAGAAGAAAGCGAAGATATTGAAAACATGGGGAAAGTGGTTCAGATCCTGCGGTTAATGAGGATATTTCGCATCCTGAAACTAGCCAGACACTCTGTAGGACTGCGGTCTTTAGGTGCCACTTTGAGACATAGCTATCAGGAAGTTGGACTTCTGCTTTTGTTTTTGTCTGTTGGGATTTCTATTTTTTCAGTGCTTGTCTACTCAGTGGAGAAGGATGATGACTCATCAGAACTGCACAGCATCCCTGTCTGCTGGTGGTGGGCAACCATCAGCATGACCACTGTTGGTTACGGGGACACTTACCCAGTCACGCTTGCTGGAAAGCTGCTCGGCACCCTATGCATTATCTGTGGGATACTAGTGGTAGCGCTTCCAATCACCATTATTTTCAATAAGTTTTCTAAGTACTATCAAAAACAAAAAGATATTGATCCAGACCAATGCAACAATGATCGCAAAGAGAAATGTAATGACCTACCTTATTTTAACATTAGGGATATTTATGCAAAAAAGATGCACTCATTCATTTCTAGCCTTTCTTCAGTAGGAATTGTTGTCAGTGACCAAGATTCAACAGATGCCTCCAGCATCCAAGATATGGAGGATGTTTATAACACAACATCTTTAGAGAATGGTACAGGAAAATGAGCTGAATCACATTCTCTTCCCTTGATTTCTCTTTTGATTCTTGGTAAATGTGGACTTACAAACTTCAGTGAGTTTATTAAGAGCAGTTAATTCTCAGGGTACTTAACTCTCAGCCATATTTGGACATTCTTTGCTCTGAGGATGCCATAAAACCTTCATTGTTTATATGAGGCTTTAAAATATGCCTCATATGGCGGTTTAGTTTTTACATAACTAATGTTATGCATTTTGGGGGAGAAAAAAGTCAGGAGAACAGTTTTAAATGTGAGATCAGTGCTTGTTTGGTTTTATGTTTTTGTGGGTTTGTTTTGTTTTGTCTTTATTGGTTGTTTTTCCCCTACAGCAATCTAATATACAGAATCTGCTTTTATAATTTACTGCTCTTCAGGTAGAGATATATTACAAACATGTAAGAATTATCACACAAGTCAGTGAAGTTTTTACCTGCAAATACATCAGGAAAAAAGAAGGAAACCCGTGCTCACTAACACATTGATGTAATCTGGGAGCTGGGAACCCCTTTCCTAACTTGAGGCAGAATATATATTGGTACATATTGTTTTTACTCCATGGAAGCATAATATTTATGAATTTATTTCCAAAAGCACAATACATCTTTAGTTTGTTAAAATAAATTAATCCTATTATGCCTATGTTTTTCCAGCTTCCAGCGTGCTCAAGTTCCATCAGGTCCTAAAAGGTCTAAATCACAAGTCCCAGGATTAAGTGTCTCGTGTAGGCAGGACAGGATCTTATGCTCTTTAGCCACTTCTTCTGCCATCGTGAACCTGAGAAATTCTGGTGCCTGGAGAAGATCCCGCTGTGGCTAAGACCACCCTGGTGTCTTCCCCAGAGGCTTTGTTTTGTGGGCGCTGATGCAGACATCTGCGGTGGTCTAGAAGTTGTTGCTCCCTGCTGTCAGCACTGCTGCTTTGCTGGAGGTTACTGCCTCGGTGGTAGGAGCAAACGTGAGCCCCATCTCGGCTGCACTGGTTCTCAATCCGGGGCTGTAATGCCAAGTAACGGAGATGTGCAGACACGCTCTCCTCTACCATATTTCCCCCATCAGAGGTGTAGGGTGGGCCTGTGGGTGGGCACCCATATATGAAACGTTTTCAGCTCCTTTTTCTAAAGCTCATCTGTGGCTGATGGCAGCTTTCCTGGTTTGTACTGTGGGCTGGAGTGGTGCTCACTGTCTGGCAGAGTGCTCTAGCTCTGTGCATTCCTCTCCTCTCCAGGGATTTCTTATGCAGCCAGCTAATCCTGCTCTGGTTCCAACTGGATCTTCTAGGGCTATTTAAAAGGAAAGCCAGCCCTTAAGTCTAGCATAAAGGAGTGCTGGAGAAACTCAAGGACCTTATAGAAGTCCATAGTGTTTCTGAACACTCATTTTCTTTCATTTGTCTAGTGACTAAATTAGAAGCTGGACAACAGAGAATTGAAGATACTGTGATGTTGATATTTTCCTTAAAGAGGCTTCACTTTTTAAATATTTTTATTACTGTGTCAAATACTGAAGCCCTTACTGAGTTTCTACTCAGTCAGATCAAACTCAGTAGGAGTTGACTTCAAGACAGTAAAACCAGAAGATGGCTATTGATTTTAGCCTCTGCAGAGGGTTGATTTTTCAGGTGTCTGCTAGGTTTTATATTGCAAAATACATGAAGTAAGTAGCTGAGGTGCACTTATATTTACTGAGGCACAGATCTCTAACCTCTTTCTGAGATGGAAAAACAACAAAAAAAAATAGGATGGATCAACCTATATCTCAGAAGGAGGTGTCCCTCAGGACTGCTGTGCACCAATATAGTGATGTGGGACTTAAAGAGAATATTTTAAGCTTTGGAGAAACTTCAAAATTTGGCTTATTACTTGCTGAGTGTTGTAAGTGTATGTGATGCTTCACAGATAATTAAGATTAATTCTTCCCATCCTTAGTGCAGGAATACCAAAAGGGAAACAGCCTATATGTTGTTTAGGCTATGTATGTGCATATTAATTTAATAGGAACCAGCAGAATAACAGCATAAAAATTACTCTCGGTTCAAAAAAACTTTCTTGGTAATCTCCATATAAAGATATATTACATATCCACTAAAGTTCAAAAGCAATGAATAATGCCATAATGCAACAAAATCTGCAAGTAATTTGCATTAAATAGTTGAAAAAAACCTGCTACTGAAAAATTTCATTTTATATATTAAGCATTACCCAAAGATCAGAGAGTATACAACTTTTTGTATTAAATTTTGCTGACTGGTTATTTGTCAGAAAATTGATAAGGTTTTAATCAAACACATGAATCAGTCTTAAGACTGTGACACTGTATAAGCTCTTCTGACTTCTTTTTATGCATAGATACAGCTTGCAGCAAAGTGAGGCACATGCCCTTTGGGACATATCAGAAAGTATATATCCATGTATCATGCAGTGTATGTTGTTTTGATTTTTGTCATGAGATCTTGGCTTCTTTCAAATCAGTTGTATCTTAAAAAAATGGCTTTGTTGTTTTCTGTTCCCTTTGCTGGAATCAATCCAGCACCTTGGTTTCACATAGATGTAACTGGGGGCAGGATGCTGAGCTATGTTTCATGCCAAAAGATACTCCCCTCAAGGCAGAACTGTAGTCCTGTAACGTGCAGTGGCACTAGAGAGTGTCACAAGACTTGAGTGCTGGAAGAAAGCAGATGAGAGCAGATACTGAGATACTGCATGTTCTTCCTGCTAGTAAAGGTTTTTAGTAAAAGAATTTACTAGTAAGAAATAAACATAAGAGGGGATTGTTTCGTATTTAATTTGTCTTCTTCCTTGGTCTACAGTTATGTATTATCAATATACAGTATCATTCCCAAACCACATTTTTCTCTTTAAAAATGCTTCCTAAATTCTTTCCACCCAGCTGCTCTGTTTCAGGCACCAAAGCACAGAAAAGGTTACTGTGCAGATCTAAATCTCATTTTGTATGGGAGAGATTTGTTTGACTATACACAAAATAGTTTACTGTCGTGTTATTAGTTTCTTTGTCTTGATGGCAAATGCTTCCCTTTCAATATGCAGCATTTCCACAGTGGCATCTGTCTTTGCAGCGGTTGTCCCTAGCGTAGCATGGAAGACACCACCGCACCATGCTGCAGTTCCCTGTTTGAGTAGCTTCCAGTGGGCGTCGGGTATCACCCAACAGCCACAGCTCGTACCTTGCTGGGAGCAGGAGCTGTTACTGCCACCATTTTTCAGGTGTGTGTGTTAGAAGGAGGAAAAGGCCAAGGTAGAGGAATGAGAAGAGAGAAATGGGAGAAGGTAGGAAGCTGTTAATTGAAAGGGATGATGGAAAAGCCCAAGAGGACCTTAGAAGAAAGGAAAAAAGAAGTTGACAGTAAGAGTCCTCACTTGTCTTCACTTTTTTTTTTTTTTTTTTTTTTTTTTTTCAGTGCTTTTCTTCCCTTTCCTCCCTTGCTGCTTCACATCTCTCTCCTCCTGCTACCACCTTGGCCTCCCTTCCCACCCATCTGTGGTCCAGCAGTCCTGTTTCTGTCCCAGAATGAGAGTCTTTCTGAGACCAGAAACACGTTTTGCTGACCTGGATGGTAGCAGGCAGAATTTAGCAGGGATGAAATGAGTGAGCTCTTCTGCTGTGTGCATGAGCAGTCATCAACAACACTTTTGGGCTGTGCTTTTTTTGTAAGAAAAGCCACAATGTGTCTCAGATCAATGAGTAAACATGAGCTAAATAAAATGGCACATCTGTGTCAGCCCTGTACATGAAATATCACTTAATGGGTTAGGTAGAAATTAGTGTCAGGCACCATAATGTGAAATATTACTGTTTAAAAGCAGACTCCATTTTGGTTCCCATGTAAGCGGGTTGTTGTCAGGGAATGCTGAGAGTATCTGGCAGATTTGACTGGCAAAGACAATACACGGTCTTGTGGCATGCCAAGGGCTCCTGACAGGCTACTTCCTATTAATACATTTATTAATTTCCACACATCCCTAACATCTAGAATAAGTGACAGAAAACCACTAAGTTGAGGAGAGTTTCTATAATATTTTTGAAATAGCCAACAGTGTTTGTGAAGCTGCTAATACCTCTCCATCCAAAGGAGGACATTTCTCAAACAAAATCAGAATAATCCTGTGCTAGATGTGCAATTTGTGGCTGATAGCAGTAGCTTAGTCATAGTTGGTAAATATTGCTGTCTAGTGCTCTATAGCTGCAGTGCTGTTGCTTGTATTTCTGAAATGTTTATGCTCTGTCAATCAAGAGACAGCAGATGCCATTAAAACCATCTCAGCACTTTCCTGCTGCACAATAATTGCAGCTTCCCTTCCGTGCACAGCAAAATGTCATGACTTGCCGAGACCTCTTTTTTTAAGTTCTTGTGTAGCTGCAGTTAATTTTTCATGATGAGCCTATGGTCCAAGAACATCTAGCAGAAGAAAAAGTCATTGCGTGTCTCTAGACAAGTTACAAGACTTTGTTACTGACTTCCACTCTGGGCATTGCCCTCCTGCCTCACTGGCAAAACTAAGGTGGTATAAGGAGTGCTAATTCACGGTGGTATAGGCTGATAGCTGTTACAGGTAGTTAAGGAGTAAAAGGAGCTCCTGAGGGGCTGATATATGCATTTGTATCTATGTCCTCTGGACAGGTCTCATTTAGGTGTATAATATAATCAGATGAGATATAAAACATGACACTTTCCATGAGAAACCACCTACATCCCATATCTTTTTATTTTGTCTCATATCTTCTCTATTGGAGGAGGCAATCTTTGCTTGGGGTTTTAACAGGTCAAGGACTGTGGGTCAAGGGCTCTCTCATCCACACACACATCAGTTTTCCGCAAATTGCATATACCAGTGGGAGGAGAGACATTGCAGCATCCCCAACAGGCCCATGAACCTGTGGGCCAAGGAAAGGGTTCCCAAGATGAGGACTGGTGATGGAGGAGAATTTTAACTGGTCCTATATTTTGTCAATTAACACCGATACTGTGCGGCTTCATGTGCTGACTTATGAAGGTGATCTGCTCTCACTGTTTCTTCAACCTATTACAAGGTAGAGCCCAAGAAGGCATTGCATTACAATGGTTTAATCTTTAGTTACTTTATACTATTTAATGACGCATATATTGTCTAAATCACCTATTTTTTTTTTTTTTATGGTATTCATTGTTATTTCCCACTGCAAATCCTACTCTAACTAGCATATGCCTATGTTAGAGATGGGTATAGCCTAATTTAGTGCCATTGTCCTAGGATCTCTTATGAATCAGCAA